TGATTTTGATGAGGAATGCCTGAAAGCTTTTCAACTCATCAAGGAAGCTCTGATTTCAGCTCCAATAGTCCAAGCTCCAAACTGGGACTATCCATTCGAAATCATGTGTGACGCTTCAGATTACGCTGTAGGAGCAGTCTTAGGACAAAAGATTGACAAGAAGCTCCATGTCATCTATTACGCAAGTAGAACAATGGATGATGCTCAGGTGAAGTATGCCACAACAGAGAAGGAGTTATTAGTAGTTGTTTTTGCGTTTGAAAAGTTCAGAAGCTACTTGGTGGGTTCTAAAGTCATAGTCTACACAGATCATGCATCCTTGAGACACATTTATGCAAAGAAGGACACTAAGCCAAGACTATTGAGATGGATACTACTTCTGCAAGAGTTTGACATGGAAATAGTAGACAAGAAGGGTATAGAGAACGGTGTAGCTGATCACTTATCAAGGATGAGGATCAATGATGAAGTCCCTATTGATGATTCGATGCCAGAGGAGCAACTCATGGTTACAGAATTCTTTGGAAAGAATTACAGTGGGAATGAGTTTCACCAACTGAATGCTGTTGAAGGAAGATCTCCATGGTATGCTGATCATGTCAATTACTTGGCCTGCGAAGTAGAGCCTCCCAACCTGACCAGTTATGAAAAGAAGAAGTTTTTCAGAGATATCAACCACTACTACTGGGATGAGCCATATCTTTACACTCTCTGTAAAGACAAAATCTACAGAAGATGTATCTCAGAGGAGGAAGTGGAAGGCATCTTGCTTCACTGCCATGGTTCAACATATAGTGGTCACTTCGCGACCTTCAAGACAGTATCTAAGGTACTGCAGGCAGGCTTCTGGTGGCCAACCATGTTCAAAGACGCCCAGCAGTTCATTTCAAGATGTGACTCATGCCAGAGGAAGGGAAACATCAGCAGGAGAAATGAAATGCCACAAAATCCTATATTAGAGGTAGAAATCTTTGACGTCTGGGGAATCGACTTTATGGGACCATTCCCTTCTTCCTATGGGAACAAATACATCTTAGTAGCAGTAGACTACGTGTCCAAGTGGGTTGACGCCATTGCAAGTCCCACAAATGATTCAAGAGTGGTTCTGAAGATGTTTAAAACCATAATCTTCCCAAGATTTGGTATACCAAGGGTTGTCATCAGTGATGGAGGCACACACTTCATCAACAAAGTCTTTGAGAACTTACTGAAGAAGCACGGAGTGAAGCATAAGGTAACCACTCCTTATCATCCACAGACAAGTAGTCAGGTTGAAATCTCCAACAGTGAGATAAAAGCAATTCTGGAGAAGACTGTTGGGACTACAAGGAAAGACTGGTCTGCAAAGCTAGATGATGCACTATGGGCTTACAGGACAACATTCAAGACCCCTATTGGTACAACTACCTTCAACTTTTTCTATGGAAAATAATGTCACCTACCTGTTGAGCTGATTAAAAGGCTATGTGGGCAGTGAAACTCCTAAACTTTGACATTAAAACCGCCGAGGAGAAGCGGTTGATCCAACTGAATGATCTCAATGAGATTCGCTTAGAAGCTTATGAGAGCTCTAAAATTTACAAAGAGAGGACCAAGCTTTTTCATGATAAGAAGATCATCACCAAAGACTTCCAAGTTGGTGATCAGGTGCTGCTATTCAATTCTCGCCTGTAACTTTTTCCAGGAAAGCTCAAGTCTAGATGGTCTGGTCCCTTCTGTGTTACTGAAGTTCGCCCTTATGGAGCAGTCACTCTAGCTGGTAAGAGTGGAGATTTCACAGTGAATGGCCAAAGACTCAAGAAATACTTAGCAGATCAAATCCTCCCAGAGATGACCTCAGTTCATCTCCAAACCCTCTTGATGTTTAAGGGCGTAAGGAAGTCAAGCTAATGAATTAAAACAAGCTCACTTGGGAGGAAGTCCCATGTCTATCCCTGTACATATTTTTACTTTCCTTGTTATTTTTAATGCATTTTGGTAGTGCTTTCAGGAGATAAGTGTCATGAGCTGAGTAAAGTGGATTCTGGATTTGAGAGTTCAACAGAATACTCGACCACGGGGGCAAGGAGCAAGTGAAGCTGTGCGATCGAGTTTCAATGGGGTTTTAGTCTCAAGATTTTTGAAGTTTCAACATGTCACTCTATCACGCGAGGTCACATGCTGATGAAGAGTTGTGGTCAAGATATGATGATTTTGGCCCAAAATTTTTAAAAATCATCACTATACTCGATCAACAGAAGCCACATGGTAATGAGATGACGAAGTCGAGTATGATGTAGGAGAAGAAGCAGAAGCACAACCGCAAGACTCCTCAATGGCTTGGCAGTACACACAAGCAGGCATTGATGAGCACATCAAATCCTTCTTCAGTTGAGGTAACAACTCCACTTCACCATTGTTTATACCATCTCATGTCTTCTTTCTTTATTTGGTGTTGTCCTGAGTACTTCCAAATTTTTGTTACATAGAGGACTGTGTAATTTAAGTTTGGGGGAGAGCTCAGGAAGTATCTGATGTGTTTGCTTTGTTCTTGTTTTCAAATTTTTCTTGCATTGTACATATTGTCTGCATTCATTTATGTCATTGAACACACCCTAAAAATTTGAAAAATTTCTGAAAATGATTTCACAAAAACAGAGTGTTCATGTAGTTGCATTGTCATTTTAGGATTGAGTCTAGAATGTTTCATATAGGATTGTTGCATATGCATAGGGGATGATGATGAGATAACCTTGTAAGCTTGCTCACTTACTGAATGAATTCAATGCCCTCGTTGTTAGTTGTTTAATGTTTGTGATAGAACTTGAATTAAGACTGCACCATATTTGGAATTCACAACTTGACTCTCTTGTTTTAGTTGAAGCATGCTTGATGTGATTCTTTTCCCTATCTATTAGAACCTGAACTTGACTTGTAATTATCATGTCTTTGCATTGTTGTTGAACTTGTGGCTACCAATATACATACTTGGATTTTCTTTCACCTTCCACCACTCTTGCTAATCCAAGTAGCTGATCCCCATCACTGGAACAGTTTCCCCCACCCTGAACCTAACCTTTCTTTCAAGCCCTGAATAAATTTGTGTGTGTGTAAGGCCTATTTCCGGATTGAGCTTGGTAGAAAGTGTTAGGTATGAACCGACAAGAATAGTATCCCATGTAGTTCTAGTCCACGCTTTTTGGGCTAGATAGGACTAGGTGGGAGTTTTACTTTGGGTTTGGGAATGTGTTTGGAAAGAAAATGAGAAAGAAAAACAAGTGTTATTGTTCTTAGGAGATGGAAGTGAAACAGAAAAGAATATCATGTTAGTCTAGTAAAGGATTCGGGAAGCTTGAAAATAAAAGAAGTTAGGCTATGTGCAAAGTAAAAAGAAAGGCAAAAGCCTAGAAATGTCTTAAGTCATGAGATGAAAAGAAGAGTCTTAGTTGCTAAAGAAAGTCCCAATCCGCTAGAAAATCTAAAAGAAAACCTCTCTTTAGAACAAAACCAAAAGGAAAGAATGGGTTGATCCAAAAGTTTATTGAAACATGCCTTGAGTGCAAAGGGTAGAATTAGGATCATTTTTTTTGGGGGTTTAGAGATAGGACCATCTATAGAGTTTGATATGCTTATGGTTATTTGGGTAGATGAGGTCTGTTCTTGTATGCGTAGGTTAGTTCTAACCTTTAGCATTCTACTAAAGCTCTGTCCATTCATGAGAGTTCCCTGTTATTGTGAAAAAGTCTGAAACCATTTACAGAGGAACCATCTTTGTTTCTCAGCCTTGTCCTTTAAACCAAATGAGTTCTTCAACAATGTTTTGCTTGATTCATGGTTTGAGCTTAATCAATGTTAAAGGGAATTGATGATCTAAAGGTGTGTGTAGATTGGAACAAATGTTAGGTTGTCTTGTGATGAATATGGCTAATGTTTTTAAGTAGAGTTTGGTCTCTATGCATTCCACAACTACTAACTTGGACATTGAGTTCATTTGCTTTGTCTGCATGCTTTGGTTCTGAGTCCCCGCTTTCAAACCTCTCCTCCGGCTTGTTCTTAATTGTTTGCTTGAGGGCAAGCAAAGACTAAATTTGGGGGAGTTGATAATTCTGTATTTTACTGGTTTTGAGCATTCATTCGTCATCACTTTAGCATCATTTCATCACTGTTTCATACCATTCTTTATCACTTTGCATGATTAGGATAGTTTTGCATACATGTTGCATTCTTGAGTTGTTTTCAGGTGATTCGGAGCTGTTGGGAAGCAAATTAGAAGAAGTGGATCAGCACCCACCAGTATGCTCGACCACATGCTCGATTACCATTCTCCAGCAAGCTTCCATCATTGTGCTCGACCACATGCTCAATTCACCACTCGAGTACTTTCAGCAACCATCATCTCAAAGCACTCGATTGCATCACCAGGCAACAACTCGACTCACCACTCGACCTCGTGGTCGAGCACCCTCTTCTTCAGCCACTCGACTGGATGCTCAATCTCCACTCCCCACAGCCACTTGATCACAAGCTTCATAGTCTTCTCAGATCTCAACTCAACCAGACATTGAGCATAAGGAAGAGAAGAGGATGAAGCCAGACTCGAGAACATACTCGACCAAGTGCTCGATCGCATCATGACGTGAGCAAGAAATCGCAAAGGCGCCAGCTTTACTCGACTTCTCCACTCGATCGCACGAGGTCGAATGTCTCCGTAAACCGCCTTAATACTTTGTCGTCTTGTGATTTAGGGTTTTCTAGTATTTGCTATAAATAGGTTGTTTCTCTTAATTTGGAAACTAAGTTTTATTCTGTAGAACAATTAGTGTATTCTTCATCTTTGTAATCCAGATTTCTCTTAATCTATTGAGTATTTGCTTTTGATTTCTTCTACAAAGTTGTTCATCTTGTTGAGATCTTGCTAATATGAAGTTTTTATGCATTTATGGGTTTATGTTCATGTTCATGAGTTTTGAGTAGTGATTAGGGTTCTTGAGGATGGGTTAGGGTAGTTTAGAATCCTATAACAGTATACATAGTAGGTAGCGAGATCAAATAAAACCTAGTGCGTCACTATCATCATCTTACGCACCGATCGGTCTATCTGATCAGGTTCAGTATCCAATCCTGTGTAGGGCGGGGGAGCTGCTAGTTCGCTAGGAAAATAGAAAAAGAATATAGAAAATCTATAATCAGTCAATTGCAATTGGAGAAGAAAGTTAGATATACTTCTCGCTAATCCTTCTTCTTTTGATCAGCCTAGCATCTCCCTCGTGCTTATTTATTCTTTCACTTTTACCTACTGCAAGACACATGCCCATCCCAAGAGCGCTATGAGTTCATAGAGTGGAGAATTCTTCATGGTTCATCCTTTTTTCATGCAAGGCTAGTACAGATGGTGAGAATGCTCTGGAAGAAGGTGTCCCAGTCCGTAGGGGCACTTTCAATCAACCCGGTGGGCGCTCAGTGACTCGACTGAAACGAGAAGGTACTTATTGGTCCAACGGAATTCTGCTTTATCATGAAAGTTATCGACCGAGGAATTCCATTTCGGTAGCAGGCTTCTAAATACGCTGCTTGCCCGAACCAAGGACCTTCACATTCTAATCAAAGGGAAGATGCTAAGGGTACCGATAACTTCTGATTATGGATTCTATCCAAGGATCGGGTTCTATCTATGATTGGTGCGACGAATGCGATGACTCTTGGTTAAGGCCTTGCCTTCCCTCATCGATCAAAATGGCCAGTCACAATTGTTGCGCCCTGTCTCCCTGCCCTGAGTACGTCCTGGAAAGCGAATTCTTAAGCTTGGCCCCTCTCTTTATTTGAAATGCTTTAGTGAGATTCACATCTCGGGAATATTCTTCGATACGAGCTACTGTACCCTTATCTTATAAGAAGCCTTCTCTACAACCTTCACTATTTTATTAGTTTCTAGTAAGTAAGTCTCCTGATGCTACCCAGAAGCTCCCTCCTGATTCTCGTTGTTAGGTATTTGACTTAGAAAAGAGCAGCACTAATGGGATATTTTTCTTAATGGTATTCTGCTACCCTCTCCTTTTAGTCGAGTAATCAATCCCTCTCCTCATCAACAAGTGGAAGAGTCACGTCAGTGCCTAAAGGTCAGTTTGAAACTCCGAGACTGCAGCTCCAGCAGAATCCTTCCTTGGTTCAGATTCCTTCCCTGCCTTGGGATGCCTTACTTTCTTTAAGGGAAAAGACAGTATGATGGTGGTTTTTTTCCCTTACTTCTGTTTTAGTCGATCGAGTAGTAACCCACTAGTTATTCAAGCAGTTTTCTTTCCCCTATCCCTTTAGCTTTAGTCGGCCGAGCAGGTTCTAACCTTTTCTTCTGGTCGAGTACCTTCGTTCCTCTTCCTCAACTGGTTGATTAGGTGCTCCAAGATCTGGATCTTCTATTTCATAAAACTGGAAGTCTTGACTCGCCCTTCTCTCTCTTTCTGTCCCAAGGCAATGTTCAGTCGCTGACTTAGGCTTCTTTTCAACTATCAGCCTGTCGTTCGAAAGCAGTCCACTCCGGCTCTCTGGTATTGATTTTATATGGCAAACCTCGGCTAATAGAAAATGGACTTTTCAGATCCCAAGGGTAATCAATCACTACTGATAGGGATCATTGGCTCAAAAGTCACTATCTTGGGAATAGCTGTGCATGATGTGTGATGGTATGTGGCTTAGCTGTATTCCTGTCCTTTACTGTGATGTCTTTCATTTGTATAGGAAAGGTGGGAAGTACTCCAAGTGATCGAAGCTATCCTCTGCTGTTAGCATCCGTACTGTCAGCTTCTGTTTAAAGAGTATTCATTCCTCCGTTCGGATAGTAGGGATCAGGTATGTGGCGAAGGATTCTTCCTGTTGGTAGTTGGGATGTAGTTTAATGAGTTCACAACAATTACCCCAAGGTTTCTTGATCCATCTTTCAAGCTGTAAGGCTCGCTCTGTTCTCAAGGCTTGGTAGCTCTTCACAAAGTCCTCCTTTTTCTCACGAGTTGGAACCGTGCCAACACATTTTCATATCGTCCCCAGTAATAGAGTGATAGGAGGAACCCCTTTCAATTATGTATTACGCCTTAATCCATCAGGGATATCTAATGAATTCCACAGACTTTGATTGAAACCACTATTATCTATGCTTCCTTTAGAGAAAGAAGATCTCACAAGAGAAGGGATTAGATACGCCCCTACCTTACTTGTTCACTGTACTAGATCTCCATATCATATGTGTAAAGCGCCCACCTTGGCTTGGATACGAAAGATGGACTGGAGTGGTTACACTAGCCGATGCTTAAGCGTCAGCCCCCTTCCCCATAAGCCTCATCCGTACCTTAAGTCAATAAGTTGCCGACTCGGCATCCGCCGAAGCCTATAAATGTTCAATATAAAGTTCCATCCTCCATTTATTTCCCACGGATAAGGAAAGCGGTTGCCGTAAGCTTCAAGCTTAGTGAAATGGGTAGACTTCCTCGTAGGGCCACCAACTGTTCAATCTCTATCTCCATCTGCTACCTTCCACTCTTTCAATAGAAGGTCATCAGTCCTCCGAGACAGAACTCTGGGAAACTTCTTTCTATAGCGATTGGACACGTGTTTTTATCAAGTTAATGCAACTCCGTTTCAATTCCTTAATTTGACTCTAACTATATGTCAATACCCCCGCAGTCCACTATAGGGGAGAGTTCACTCCAGATAGGGGTATTACCAGCGGCTTCGATCACATCCTATCCTCTCTAGCTACTGGCTTGCTTCCGGGGATTGTCGGCAAAGAGAGCGAGTGAGGGAGTCAGGTTTAGGCTTGAACACTAGGTTCAATAGGTTAGGGATCCTGAAGTCCCAGAGCCTATTCGATAGGTATCCTTTTACGCTATTTGCTTCGATGCTTTACTACTCTTGAATGTCGGAAATCGGATTCTATTTGATCTTATTTCTTGTCTGAGACTGATGACAGCTTAGAAGGAAAGTGAGGCACTATTCGCTAATCAGGAAAGAGGCTTGACTCTTGCTTGTCGATCTCTATTCCTCCTCGTACATTAAGTAGAGCAGGGAATAGGAATAGTAAAAGAAAAGGCCTAGAGCAAGAGAATCTAGCTAGTTCGATTTGAACTAATCGCTGTGAGGGAGGAAAGATCAGATCTCACGTAAAAAGTTGTAGATAGTCTATTCAATGGCGGAGTCCTTTGTGAAATAATAAGCTATGGAATGTGGATCGAACGAGAAGGATTCGAGCAAGTACCGGACACAAACAAAAGAAACAAGAAAAGGGCCACGATCCTATCTTCGTTTTCGCCCTGCCCTTGAACGATAGAAGAACTACTTATCTTCTCTTAGGTAGGGGTCGATCGGTTCGCATCTATGGTAAATCAATAGGTCCGCGGATCTATTCTTCTATACGAGAAATTGCCATCTCGTAGCACCAACCACCACGACACCGATTTCCTGTCGTAGGGAGCACTCCATTCCCAACTATGGAAAAGAAACTCTTGTCGGCTGACTCTGGCTATAGGGATGTTACAGAATTCCCTGCGAGAAATCCTCCCGCTGCTATTGTAGGGGCTTAACCATTTTCGATGGCAGAAGCATTGGATGCCCTTTTTTCTCCAACACTAGATGCGCTTGATCTAGCCCTCCCTTGGAACTAGATCCCTAACTTGGAAATCAAAGAAATATCTAACTGGCTTATTTGCGTACTTAGCAATGGCCATGAATAGCACTTTGACATAGATTTCTATTTTGAATGCCACTACTTCAACTACTGCTTCAATGGGAATAGCAGAAAAATGGAATTCAGAAAGTGGCCCTCTAAGGAAAGGAAAAAAATGTATATCTTATCGTGAGCCCTAGAATCAGTTTGCCTAAAATCACTTGATGGAACAGGAGTTCGAGTTTGAGTTACTCCAAGAACTACAGGGAATGCCATAGTAGAGCTAAAGCCAATAGCCGTAGCAATGAAAGCTGTCGTTCCTGTTCCTGTCATTTCACTACTATTCCTTTTCTTTGTCCGGATGGGAATAAGTTGTGATATAACCCCTACTGTGGTGGATCCATTGTTAGGAGGAACCCCTGTTCCAGCACGAAGTACGGTAGCCGGCTCAGTCTCATAACATCTTCCGAGTTTGGATACCTATAAAAAGGAGGATAACCGTTTGATTGCATTAAGATTATGTATACTGCTATCCTTCCTCAACATCTCTTTGGGAACATCTTCTTTCCTTCGACTAGGTCATCCCTACGAGGAACATATCTATCTCCTACCCCGCCGAGTAGGTTCACAAACCCTAGTAGGATCTGCTTCTAATGCATGCTTCGCGAGTTCTACGGCTGTCCATACCCTATCCATCCTTAATAACCCGGACATCTATTTCTTTCTATCTGTTGATTATAGCTGTGATTCTGCTGTTGTAGATCAAATAAGAAGTTCTAGTTCGGAATGTCAAGAAACTAGACAGCAAAGAGAGCTAACGAGGGTAATCGCTCAACTAGCAACACTTGCTGAATAGCTACAAGGAAGAAGAGGAGAGATTCATTAATGACAGAAGAAGCTAGGCTACCCTTAGCCGCCTCGATAGAAGCTTTGGGAACGATGAGTGGTTTCGCATATTTCCACGTGTCCACATGGAGTATTTGGACATGATGGGCTCGGATCATAGGCCCATATTTAGAACTTTCGCGGCCGAAGAAGCGTCAGTTTGTGGAAAGTTCTCCTTTGAGAAACGCTGGCTGTCGAAACCAGGGATTGGGGATATTATATATAAGGGCTGGAAAGGAGGCTGGACTGTCGCAATCAAACTCTCCGCCTGCCGGATCATTCCCCTGTAGCTAGCTTTGATTAAAGAGTCTCTTTCTTGGTTCGTTGGGAATGTGCATGATGAGAAAAGGTAGTTAGCTTATCTGCCTTGTTCCTTTGCTTGCATGAAGAAAGACTCTCCTCTGTTTGTTTTGTGGGAATAGGCATGACTAAGCCAGTTAGTTTCCTACGGCGAGCTCGAGCAGCTTTGTATTGCGTCGATATCTTTCCATGACATGCCCCGCTATCTATGTTTACTGGAACCAGGCCTTAAGGTGAAGGGCCGCCTCTCTAAGAAAATAAGTTTGGGGGAAGAAGAGCTCTTGCAATGGATTCCTCAGTAGGAAATGCAAAAGAAGAAAGAAAGAGCAGTGCTTTCTTAATAGTCGTGGGAGTCCGGGTCTAAGGATCCCTTTAGTCGACTAACTGACGTTCCTTATATTTCATAGGTAGCGCGAAGGGTGGCTCTTTTGGGCAGTTGCTAATGCTGATGGGTTTCTAGTTCCATGGATGGATAGGAACTAAGCTAAGTCTGCTAAGTAAGCAGGGAGTTCTACTTTATTTTATCAGAAGATTGCTGCGCTAGTTCCGAATCTTATCTCTTACCTTCCGTAGTTAATCCCTTTTGCCAACACAGGGCTACGCTTGTTTACAACACACCCTTGTGAAGTTGCTAAACTGGCTATCCTTTTCAGGAGAGTTCCTTTGATCTGATCCCAGCACAGAGGATAGAACACAGATAAGTAAGTCAACTAGGTTAGGTGAAGATGGGCAGCTAATCTACTAAGTTGGTTGGTTGAGCACACTCCTGGGAAGGGGTAAACTGACTCTTAGGGTCTTTCGCCCGCGTTTATACTATAGTGGCAGTGGCACCCAATTGATTTTAGCACGAGATAGGGACCAATCTTCATCCACGGGTGTGTGCTGGAATGTGTGCAATACTAGTTTATCGGGCTTGCTTCGCTAGGAGTATACAGATAACAGTTAGGAAGGAATAACCCAGCACTGCGCTAGAGAAAGCAGAGGAATACCGAGAAGTAGAGAGAACTTGCTTCGCTAGGAAAGGAAAAGGGAGAGTTGGTTTCACCTTCCCTATAAGAACTAAGGTTTACCCAACTCCCTAGCCATCTATGAAACTATGATACTTTATACTTCCAAACCTGAAAAGGAAAAGGAAGACTAAAGCATGGGACTAAAGCTGAGGAGGAGCTAGTGGAACTGTCTACCCAAGAATTAGAACAAAAGCTGCTCACAGTACACCTTTGTTTAACTGTACGAGCGAGAATACCAGCTAGTCATGTAACTGCCAAGAATAAGGATTCTAAAGGAAAGAGTTAGGTGTGCCAGAGATCCTGGGATTCCCTTTGGAGAGGAAAGCTCCTACTATTACTATTAAGGAGCACTCAAAGCTTGCTTCGCTAGGACAGGACAGCACAGAAGAGTAGATAGCTTGCTTCGCTAGGAGTGTGCTAACTTATTCTCATAGGCGTACCCGCGTAGAAGAAGCTACCTTCCTCAAACTCCTCTGCGCAACCCACCCAGCCATACCAGAGAGTGCTATCACAAGGAAATTGTCTGGTCTCAGAAGATGAGAGCTTCTTTTTTAGCAGAGGTACTGATGTCAGGAGAGGGATGGCGTACAGACCTCAGTGTGCACTAGCTCCAATACTCTCTTAGTCAACTCTTGGCTTATGCTGTCCAAATCCTCCCAGCTACATTAGCTGCATTAGCCGCTTGTCTCGGTCCTCCAGCTCTGCTACGCTACCCCGGAAGACTCGCACCTTATAATATAAGGAGGTAGGCTTAGAGCCAGCAATAAAGCTAGCAAAGACAGCTCTACCGCGAGCTAATAGTCTTTGCGGACATGCAACCTTCATCTTGACTTCTATGGAGCGCATGAAAACGAAACTTTTCCATCTCATATAGCGACGAATTGATGCAACCTTGTTTTCCTTCGTAAGACCACATGAGAAACCAAAAAGTTTTCACTCCACCATGGCGAAAACCTAGCAAGGCCCTTTGACTCTTTGGATGACATGAAAAAGTAGAATCTGGCTTCTACCCCTAGTGGAAAACCTAGCAACCCAGTTTGACTCTTTGGGGACCCATCGGTAAGAGAAATGTTGCCTTCTACCATGGCGAAAACCTAGCAAATTTGATCATTTTCCACGATTCCTAAGAGTGAAATCATCGATAGCCAAAATACCGGGGTTTGTGTCGCTTGTCTCTTTTTGATCGGCTTTCTAAGTATGAATTGAGTTGACAACCAAAATTCCCGGGAAAATGCAACTCTTCACTTTTTGTTATGATTTCAAAGAGTGAAAACATCGGCAAGCTCAAAACACGGGAAAATGGAAATGCTCTAAACCGTAGAATCACAACAGCCTTTCTCTTAGGGCAACAGGGGAACAAGGAACCTGGGAAAGACCAACACAACTTCCTTGACTTCCTAGGCTTCTATGCGGAGAAGGGTTTTAGGAAAAGAGGAGAACTAAGAGAAAGAACAAGGGAAGAACAAACCAAGGCTTGAAGACCTAACTTCCCTCTCTGGGTTACTGACCTTACCTTCCTAGGCTTATCTCCCATTCCTATAACCGGGCTTAGCTTCCTAACCTTACTCCTCTTCCAGGGAGAACTGACTTCCCAACTGAGCTTACCTTCCTAACACCTAACTCAGCTGGGAGAACTTCCTGCCAGGGCGATCCTTCCTTCCCTTCCTTCCATTATACCGGGCCGGGGAGAGGGTAATGAACCAAAGAGTAGTATACTTTATGAATGGGAAAGCTGTCATCAAGCCAGATGCGGATGATATTCTAACTGCTGCGCTCTGCTGCGCTTACGCCTTTTGATTAGACAACTCCTTGTGCCAAGCTAACTAACTAGGATTTGTTCAAAGGAATCGTTTAAACATAAAGAAGAGTTAGCTACTCTGACGAATCTAATGTTATCTGCGTTGAGGTTCAAAGAATGGGTGATTCCCTATACCCTATATAAGATAAGTGAATTAGTTCTTCAATCGATTCATCTCGGCCTTAGACTGCTACGGTTAACTCTTTCCCCGAGCACCTGGACTGGTTATCTCGAAAGAAATGCTTTCATATCATAGCTGCTGACTTGGCTTTGAAGAGCTGAAGGAACGGCTACTGATTAGGGACTCAAATCATTTCATCCGGAAGTGACTGCACTCGCCTAAGCAAAGGGTAAGCTACTTTCATAACCACCAGGAAAGCCTAGCTACTTGTTCGTTCCTCACCCTGTCCCTTACCTCTTACCGTGGGAAAAGCTGTTGATATTCGTAGATCGTTCGTTGATTCCCTTGCTTTAGGGTAATGATTCTTCTGGGGCCACTAAAGAAAGAGTTCTGCCTTCTAGCCAAGCCTTTGAGACCAAGTCAAGCTTCCCAGCAGTCAACCAAGAAAGAGTGTTTCTCTCCTACTGAAGAAATGGAAGTCTGTCTGCTTTCCATCTTAGCATTGTTAACCTCTGCTCTTTCCAGAACAGGTTATCTCTCAATCAATGTATTCACGCATCTCAAAAGAGTGAAAAAAAGTAGTCCTTCCTCCCAGAGCTGAAATAGCCGGGCTTCTTCCTTCAACTAAGGTAATGATGACCCGAAGTCTTAGTGTGGCTGACAAGGGGGCTTACAAGAATGAACTGTTGAACTAGCTCGCGCGGAAAAGATATATCTGTTAGTAACTAAGAAAGTGCTAATCTCGCAGAGTCAACTGTTAAGAAGCGGCGGAGAGAGGTGTAAATCAGCAAGCCTTCCAACAAAGGATTTCGCAGTGGAGATTAGGTGATAGGCCTGCGTTGGCACATAAAAGAATTTCCAACCCGACCATTCAAGGAAATAGACAAGATTTAAGCTCCTTGCTTGGGTTCGGTTATCATTAAATGTATAGGCTGGGGTATTGAAGTGAAGATACTTGCATAAATAGAAACTTCGGGCGGTAGAAGAGAGGCCCTTTCTGATACGTCAAAAAAAGAGAGACTGATTCTGACTCTCCCAATTAAGGAAGACGGAAATGGCTGGTGCCGGTTGGTCCAACCAAGAAAAAAGAGATGGGATTTGTGACGAAAGCAAGGAAGACTCTTAGTTGTTGAATGCGAGTCACTACATAGGTGGAATTTGATAAGCTCCTTTAGGCCCGGCTAGCCCGTAGAGTCTTAGGGGTTTTCCCCACTTTCCCTGACGCAAGGTCGGGGTCTTTACGAATAGGACAAATATACACCAACCCTTTAAAGGATGAGGTTCCAGTTCGCCATTCCTATTATTTATAGGCTTCCAGTCTCCTCAGAAGTCCGCTCTTCTATCTTCGCAGAATTCACCTGGGTCTCTTACTAACCTTCGCGTCTAGGGCATGATGTCTTTATTTAAGATGTCAATCGTCTTGTTATTCTCAATAAATTCTTCCAGGCCTCTCTACGGGATTGGAAGAAGGAGAGGAGAAGGAGAGAGTGAAAGGAGATAAGTAAATGTTATCACAGACGGAGATGCCAGTGAGAATACTGAACAGACAACAGCTGAGGATACACAGCCTAAGCTCTTTGACCATAAACCATCCAATAATAAAGAGAAGATGTGGAAGGGTGAAAGATAGTGTACTAACGAGAAAGGTGAAAAGCTAGGGAAATTCCTGTTCAAGTTTCAGCTTGATAGCTATATCTTTCCTTTCTTAACTGGGTTTTTGAACTTCACATATATATAGCCCATCAGCTTGTGACTTCGCACTCTCAGTTTCGAGATTGGGAATCGACAGAACTGCCCTTTCTTAACTTAATTATAAAGGGTAGCTTAGCTGGTTAGATTTACTGAAGGTAATTCAATCGCTGAACGTTGATAATAGCTTTCGAAAAGAGATCCTGACTCTCCAGCTAGTTCAAACTTCCCCGATTAGTAATGCTCTCACCCTGGGGACATATCTCACCTTTGTCAGCAAAACAGTAGAACCATCTTCATTTCTCAGTCTCACACTTCCTATTCCCTTCACTGTTGACATGGTGTCATTTGCCATCTTTACTTGTTCCACTACCAGCATCTGATAAACTCACAAACCATTCTCTTCTTCCGAAAGAACAACCTGTGTCAAGTATCCAGACTTCCCTTTGTTAGGAATCCCTAATTGAAAGTGAGAAGGGACCTACACTAGTATATAAAGGACATGGGCCTCTCCACTCATTGCCAATTGGTTTTGAGTTGGAAGCCCATGAACACTCACATGGTATCAAGAGCCATGGAGGGTTCTCTTGAGTCTTATCCTTTTCCTTCCAATATCAATATTACTAGTTGTGTCTCCCATTAAACTCAACGATCGGAACTATCTTCTATACGACGAAGGAAGGGTGCGATTGAGTCCGCTGAACTTGGGCGAGAGATGTGACTTCGTTCCTCTCCTTTCAGTCGAGTTATTTAAACCTCTCCAGAGCTCTGGTGTCTACGAGAAGCTTCATGAGTCAAACAATTGAGGAAGCCGATACTTATACTTTGGTAGAGAATCTCGCACAAAGCAATGGGAGTCATGGCTCGGATTATGATCGGACTACAAGGAAAAACAATGATGAATCTCATCATGCCATCCAAGAGCTGAATGCAAAAATGGATAAGATATTGAAGCGTGACCAAAAGAAAAGATGACGGTAAACTCTTGTGAAGAGTATAGTGGATATCAAGGGTACCAAGACTTTAGTGTTGAAGGGTATGAGGAGCCACAAAAAGAGTTGAACTATGTTAGAGGTCAAGGATTCCAACCAAGGCCTTTCAACCAAGGGTTCCAAGCTAGAGGGGCTACTGCTCCAACAAAGACCACCTTACCAAGCGCCCTACCAAGCACCTTACCAAGCCCCTTACCAAGCTCAAGGGAGTTCTTCTTCTGCTCCAACTGCACCAGATAGTGAGGTGAAGCTAATGTTGCAACAATTCCTTGAAGGACAAAAGAAAAGTACCATTGAGATGAACACAAAAGTGGACAACATGTACAATGATCTTAATGGGAAGTTTGAAACTTTGGCCTCTCATGTCAAATCTCTTGACAACCAAGTTGCTCAAACCGCCTCTTCATCAAAGAGACCCATGGGAACACTACCCGGTAAACCGGAAGCAAACCCAAGGGAACATTTTACATAATGCTTAGAAGTGGAAAAGAGCTTGAGGAAGTTGTGAGAGATGATAAGGAAGAGGAGCAAGTTGTTGTGAGAAAGGCTAAACAGATCGTCAACTTTCCCTTGCTTGGCATGCTCTCATCAGCAAGGTATGGCTTAAGGCGCTGGCCATTCACCGTGAAGTGTTCACCATTGACATCCCAAAGCACTACCGCTCCATACGGTTTCACTTCCTTTATGCGAAAGGGTAAAAAACATCTAGATCTCAACTTTCCTGGAAATAACTTGAGTCTAGAGTTGAGGAGCAGCACTTGGTCATTTACCTTGAACTCCCTTGGTAAGATCTTCTTATCATGCCAAGCCTTAGTCCTCTCCTTGTAGATCTTTGTGTTCTCGTAGGCCTCTTGCCTTATTTCGTCGAGGTGGTTCAATTGGACCAACCGCCTTTCCGAAGCGGTTTTTATGTCATAGTTCAACAATTTTGTAGCCCAAAAAGCTTTGTGCTCAATCTCAACCGGCAAATGGCAAGACTTACCATAGACAAGATTGAAAGGTGTGGTTCCTATGGGTGTCTTGTATGCCGTCCTATATGCCCATAGCGCATCGTCAAGCTTGGTGGACCAATCCTTTCTTGTTTTCCCAACCGTCTTCTCGCTTTGATTTATCGGTTGGAGATTTCCACTTGGCCACTTGTTTGAGGATGGTAAGGAGTGGCAACCTTATGCTTCACACCATGTTTTCTTCAAAAGGTTCTCAAAAACTTTGTTGATGAAGTGAGATCCCCCATCACTAATAACCACTCGTGGTATACCGAATCTTGGGAAAATCACTTTCTTAAACATTTTTAGCACAACCTTGGCGTCATTAGTGGGGCTCGCAAGAGCTTCCACCCATTTTGAAACATAATCTACCGCCATTAGGATGTATTGGTTTCCATGAGAAAATGGTTTTTTTCATGAAATAGATGCCCCACACATCAAATACTTCTACTTCCAAGATAAAGTGTTGTGGCATCTCATTCCTCTTTGTAAAGTTGCCCTTCCTTTGGCAAGCGTCGCAAGAAGAAACAAACCCATGAGCATCCTTGAACGTGGTTGGCCAATAGAATCCTGCTTGTAAAACCTTGGCCACTGTTTTAAATGTTGCGAAATGTCCTGCATACTCCGATGCATGCATGGCAATGGTAGAGAATGCCCTTCACTTCCTCTTTTGAAATGCATCTCCTAAAAAGACCATCGGAGCATCTCTTATACAAAAATGGCTCATCCCAAAAATAATGTTGCACATCTCGCAAGAATTTATTCTTCCTATATCCATGGAACATTGGAGGCTCTTGATCACAAGCCAAGTAATTCAAAAAATCGGCATACCATGGAAGGTCATCTTCCATGCTTTCCAAAATCATAACCGCGGGATACTCTTCCTTCAAATATTCGAGCACATAGACTTTCTTTTCGGGGAGGCTATCATCTATCGGTATGTCCTCCTCGACCCGAAGTCTAGACAAGTGATCCGCGACTCCATTCTCAATTCCTTTCTTGTCCTTTATAACCAAATAAAACTCTTGGAAAAGTATAATCCATCTAAGTAGCCTCGGTTTCGCGTCCTTCTTTGCCAATAAGTATCTCAAAGCCGCGTGGTCCGTGTGCACTATTACTTTGGAGCCCACCAAGTAAGACCTAAACTTCTCAAAGGCGAAAACTATGGCGAGGAGCGTAAGCGCGGTGGTGGCATAGTTGACTTGCGTGTCGTCCAAGGTTCTACTAGCCTCATCTTTTCCCCCTCCCCGGATCCATCATCCTCGAGGAGGAGGAAATCTAAGTCCAAGACTCTTTTAGTAAGACTATGGATTGCTAATCTGCCTACGCGGAAAAGGAAGCCTTCTCCCTCTCAAACTAAAGAGTAAAGATAGCCCTTCCTTGCCCTAAAATACATGTAACATTGGATTTGCTAGTATTCCTACGGGGCTTACCCGAAGAGCCATCCTAATCCATCTTGCTAATGTTCCGGTCTTCAAACAAGAAAGAGCTAGGGGGCTCGTTCGCCCTGACGCTGGTTAGACGTGAGGTCGAACATGTCCCGCTTCGCCCTATGGCACTAAGTAGATGGCGCTCAACTTCCTGTCCTTCCTTTGCCCCAAAACGGCTCCAACCGCGTAGTCACTTGCATCGCACATGACCTCAAATGGTAAATTCCAGTTGGACTATGGGCGCGGTCACTAGAGCCTCTTTAAGCATCAAGAATGCCTCAAGGCATTTCTCATCAAACATAAAAGCCACATCTTTGCATAAGAGTTGTGTGAGTGGCCTAGCAATCTTCGAGAAATCCTTGAGAAATCTCCTATAGAACCCTAATGTCCTAAGAAGCTTCGAATACCCTTTACCGAGTTTGGTGGTTGCAAACTTGTCATCACCTCAATCTTCGCTTGGTCAACGAATTTTTTACTTGTTTTGAACAGTATTCTAAAGACACGTCTTACGAAAAGCAGATTTCATTTTTTGAGGAAATTATTAAGTGGGATTCTGAAACGTATAATTACAGCTTGCACTTTTAACGAGGAACTCTCGCAATTAGCTCTACTTTCTTTCTTTCTGGTTTTGGTGTTCCGATATCTTTCGTAGGATGAGTTCGATCCATTAGGTTCTTCAATTTGTTCAGAAAAGAAACAAGAAACAAGAAAACATCTTTGATTACGATTAAAAGGAACAATCTCAAATAGACCAAGATCAAATTTCGGGTCATTTCTTGGTGAACATGATCTGCCATAATCTCTTCGATTCCTTCATTTATGTGCCAGAATAAAGAGAGATTTGGTAGAAAGTGGAAGAGACTTTATTGTATATGATAATCAAAGGGAGTGGGAAAGCTGCAGTAATTCTTTGGAAAAGCCCGGTTCTCTTTGTCTTCGAGCTTTCATTTTTTAATCCACTCTTTCGTTCCTTCATATACCTCCCCACCAATAGATAGAGACAAATAGGAATAACCAAACCACGTCTACAAAATGCCAGTACCATGCAGCTGCTTCAAAGCCAACGTGATGCTCCTTCGTCAGATGACCAAGATATTGCCGAATACCACATATAATCAAGAAAAGAGTACCTATAATAACATGAAAACCATGAAAGCCTGTTGCTAAGAAAAAGGTAGAACCATAAATACTATCCGAAATAGTAAAGGGTGCTTGATAATATTCCATTCCTTGAAAGCCAGTAAATACTAGAGCCAATAAAACGGTAGCTACTAAAGCATAAACTGCTCGTTTTTCCTTCCCCGCGAGTATAGCATGATGAGCCCAAGTTACGGCAGCTCCGGATGAAGGGAGAATAGGGGTATTAAGAAAAGGGATTTCCCAAGGATCTAAAACCCCAATCCCTTTTGGGGGCCAAATACCTCCGATCTCTACCGCAGGTGCCAAAGAAGAATGAGAAGAAGCCCAAAAAAAAGCAAAAAAGAACATAACCTCCGATACGATGAACAGAATAGAACCATATCGAGGTCCTAATTGTACGACTTTGGTATGATGTCCTTCCAACGTGGATTCACGTAGAACATCGCGCCACCATACGAACATGGTATATAGGAGAAATATGAGGCCCAAACTTAGAAGTCTTGCACCCCCTTGAAATGGGTGCATGTACATCACACCTCCTACGGTGGTTGCCAAAGCTCCGAGTGAACCCGAAATAGGCCATGGACTTGGATCTACCAAATGATAAGAATGCCTCTGAGATTCAATCATAAACCACTTTGTCTCGGTTATATGTAAACCCCCACCCTTCACCCCCACCGGGCTCTTTCTCTTTGGGGTCTAATTTTCTTTCTATCTGACAGGACAAACTAATAGGAAGGGATGGTTCTTTAATTGCATTGATAGAAGTCTAACTAGAAAAGGATCTCTCTATTACTTTGAGAAGAGAATCGTTGGTTTGACCGACGGAAAGCATGGGAGAAAGAAAGATGCACAAACAGACTGAAATCTATGAAAAGAAAGAAGAGAACGAAAGAACGGATTTAGTTCTGGGGGGGTTGGTGCTCGTGTGCATGGATGAGCACACGGAGACACCAATTAAGGAACGCACGGCGTGCGCTTTCCTCCTCTACCCTTGCTAACTCCGTATTAAACCTTCCCCTCCACTCGGCGATTTGCCGATCCCGAATGGAATCAGCTCTTCGACCGAGATGGATTTGGCGTTGGAGTGATCTAATTTCCTGATCCAGGCGCGCCGTTAATTCCCGACGTCGGCCTGGATCCCCCTCGTTCTGGAGGGCCCGTTCCGTCCCCTCGACCCGTTCCCAAGACTCCGCCAATTGGAGATTCCGTGCTCGTAAAGAGTCGGAACTCTCAATTTCGTTGTACAACGACGATACGGAGGGATTGAGAGCAATCTCGTTACCCTCCGTATCGGCGGCAGGCAGGTCCACATGTGGAACGACAAATAAAGTGGGGGTTTCCAGAAGCCCAAGAAGACAGAACGAGAGTCTCAATAATAAGAGAACTCGCCCTAACTTCGGGGCTATGAAAACAAGAAAGTAATAGAACCCCCCCAACAGTGCTGGGGGATTCGCGAAAACTCTTACCCATATCTTACCATTTCTTCGGAATTGTCCGCTCATAGCACGATGTAAGTGTCCGATTATAGCCCGACGCGCTGCTTCAATGGCTCGATATGAAAGACGACCAGCTTTACAACTTTTAGTGCCATATCTTCCAAAACCCAGTTTTGTACCATCCGGTTTGCAACCCCTACTACATCTGCCTTTACGATATTTACTATATTTCGTACGTTTCGGATATAGCACGTCCCCCTTTTTTTTTACTATATGAAATCCATACTTTGACACCTGAGATTCCGTAACGAGTAGATACTTCCGCAGGAGCATAATCGATTTTCTGGTTAAATACATTACGAGAAGTTTTTCTATGCTTATAGCATTTATACTTTCGCGGTCGCCCTCACTGAACCGACTTGAATCTGAACTACGATTTTTTCCCCAACTTGCTTTATTAACGGGCATTTTCGGGGACTAGCCCGCTTCTTCATTACTCAAGAGGGCGATTGCCCGGTCCTCTTTCATGTGGAATCATTTTAGATCGTATCCCCACAAGCCTGCCTCCACTTTCTTATGTGAAAGAGTTATTCTATGAAAGAAAATCTCGTTTTTTCACATATACAAGCTAAAACTACAACAAGTGGGAGAGGCAGGATTCGAACCTACGTAGAAAAACTTCAACAGATTTACAGTCTGCCGCTTTTGACCACTCGGCCACTCTCCCCTTCCCGGGCCGAGGCCCCCTCAATGGGTTCTAAGAAGGAGGTTTTTTCCCTGAATCAATAAAAAAAGAAACTTATTGATTTGATTGAAGGGAACTAATACTATTTCTTAGCTTAGCTAGCGTTCCGGGAGAATCTAGTCATTTAGTCAATTCATAACAATCTCTGTAAAGCAAGGGACAAAGCTTCTACGACAGCTTCCCCCTCATGTAGTCGTCGGCCTTCCCCAGCCCCCCTTCGTCGCTTCCGGCGAAGCTGCGAGCCCTACCCTTCTCGAGCCTACTTAAATAGCTTACGCTTACCAAGCCTAGTCTACTAAAAGAGGGCTACAGTAAGCAAGCTTTCCCCCTTTGTTTTTGTTGTGGGTCGCGCCTCACCGCAGGCACTGAATGAATGAAATGAGTGGTCTGCAAGCCTTCCCCCTTTAAAATTACCAAAAACTTCGTTGCCGCTAGTGGCGAATAAAATTTCAACCATCCCACCCGAAAACCACTCGGAGCCTAAAGAGAGTTCAGTCTACAAGAAGCTGGCAGAGCTTTAGCCATTGGACTACATCGCACTATCCTACCTAAACCCTTTTCTTGTTTGTTCGGATTCTGTTCTTTTTCGAATGAGGCTAGTGGAGACAAATTCCTTCCGACTAATGAAGAGATACTACTCCAGTCTTCCCATTCATTCCCAGTTGATCCTTCTTCTTCCTAAGAATTTAACGAACCAAGTTCACCTATACGAGAGTGAGGAATCAAAACCAACAATCAACTTTCCACTTTTGACACGATTCAGCTAGTTTAGAAACAAAGGAGAAGGACAGGGGCCGTTAGGTCATAAAAGCGATAACTAACAAATCTCCCCAAGTAGGATTCGAACCTACGACCAATCAGTTAACAGCCGACCGCTCTACCACTGAGCTACTGAGGAACAACGGGAGATTAGATCTCATAGAGTTCAATTCCCGTTCTCAACCCATGACCAATATGAACTCGAAGTTTCCTTCGTAACCCCCGGAACTTCTTCGTAGTGGCTCCGTTCCATGCCTAATTTCATAGGGAACCTCAAAGCGGCTCTATTTCATTATATTCCATCCATATCCCAATTCCATTCATTTAATATCCCTTTGGTGTCATTGACATAAGAGATGTCGTTTCTAGTCTATCTCTTTCTATTTCTATATATGGAAAGTTGCAAAATCATCATATAATAATCCAGAAATTGAAATAGAAAAGAAAAAAGGGAGGTTTGTGATGGTTTTTCAATCTTTTATACTAGGTAATCTAGTATCCTTATGCATGAAGATAATCAATTCGGTCGTTGTGGTCGGACTCTATTATGGATTTCTGACCACATTCTCCATAGGGCCCTCTTATCTCTTCCTTCTCCGAGCTCGGGTTATGGACGAAGGAGAAGAAGGAACCGAGAAGAAAGTATCAGCAACAACTGGTTTTATTGCGGGACAGCTCATGATGTTCATATCGATCTATTATGCGCCTCTGCATTTAGCATTGGGTAGACCTCATACAATAACTGTCCTAGCTCTACCGTATCTTTTGTTTCATTTCTTCTGGAACAATCACAAACACTTTTTTGATTATGGATCTACTACCAGAAATGAAATGCGTAATCTTCGCATTCAATGTGTATTCCCGAATAATCTAATTTTTAAATTATTCAACCATTTCATTTTACCAAGTTCAATGTTAGCCAGATTAGTCAACATTTATATGTTTCGATGCAACAACAAGATGTTATTTGTAACAAGTAGTTTTGTTGTTTGTGTCCGTATGTTACTAGTTGAGTGGGCTTTCCCTTTGTTCCAGTTATTTCTGGTCATGAAGGTGTAGGCCAAGGACGGAGTCGAACCGTCATTACAGGATTTGCAGTCCGATACATTTCCATTATGTTACCTAGCCAAACCCGCCACCTCATGTGCCAAAGTCAAACGGTTGTTCTTTCTTCCCTCTTTTTTATACATATGCTGGGGCGGGCGGAGCGCTCTATATGACCGGCGGCGGGTTACCAGAGAGGAGGGGACAACTTCTTTCTCCCTTGCCTTGCTCAATTTTCGTTTTATGATTGAAAGTAGCAAGCAACTCTACTACTAGTACAGAGGCCAGATAGAAGGTTGCTCATCCAGCCCAGCGGATCTATTGTTTATGCAGCAGTGCGATGCGGCTGAAAAACATAAGCCCCATTTTCTTAGTAAGATGAGTAAGGTATAGGTTTGGGAAAACTCCAAAACAAAGGTTCCAAAAAAAAGACATTAATCAAGGTGACAGGATTCGAACCTATGGCCCTCTGTACCCAAAACAGATGCGCTGACCAGACTGCGCTACACCTCGCGTCTCACTGTAATTGCTTTTTTTTTTCATCTGCCTCCTGCACTATACGGCTTTTTGCCTTCTTCCTTCTTTCACTTGAATTTTAAAAATCCGGCTCGCTCTCGGCTACGTGTCCAAAGGACCAAAGGGCCATTCTTCATATACCTCAGCTCCGAGAATAGAAGTGGTTGTGGATTCGAACCACTGACACAAGGATTTACAGTCCTTTGCTCTAACCATCTGAGCTACCTGTGAACCACTTTGTTCTCAACTTATCCAACGAATCTCTTTCTCTTATTCAATTCCACTTTGTTTAGTTTAGTGATAGTTAGAGGTTAGAGAGCTAGATCACTCCTCTAAGCAGCCTTCTGATTATATACGTATTATTCTATCTATCTGTCCCTACCTTATACTATCCTTCCTATCTGCCATTACTTGTATTCTATCGATAGGAATGGTTAGTTAGTGTGCATAGCTGCCTTGTTTCTGTGTATGCACAGCAGTTGTTTCTGTGTGAAGCATGTATGGAGGTAGTGAAGAACGGCCTGCGAACTACCGTAGCTAAGCGGCACTAGTTCCTGTTGCTTGCAGCTTCAGTAGAATTCATATCCCTTGTTGGTATGTGAGTAAGTTGTTGCATGAATGGTCAGGTAGGTAAGCGTAGCAGTATTCCTGTTCATGCATGTATCCCTGCAGGTTGTCTTCCCTATCGAATGAGGGAAGTGAGCTGGTTAATCGCAGCTTACTTCTGGAGTGGTCCCTAGGCGGGTGTAGCTATTGTTGCTTGTAGCTGCTGTTAAGTATCTATCTTTGTTTGCCGATCACTGATGTAATGGCTGTTCCGTGCTGTGCAGCGCGTTCCGAGGTCTGCTTTCCTTTCTTTGTCATTTGACTATCTCTCTCCGTTCGATGGGAACAGTTGTTTCACGACTAAGTAAGAAAGGTTAGCGAAGCCGGGTTCCTATGTATGCATGATATTTGTTCCGAGGTGGTTGTTTTCTCTTCTTTTGGAAATTGCCCGGGGTTTAAATAGGGCAAGAACATCAGGAAGGTCTTTTCGTTCGGATACAGACATGGCAATCTACGTATATGAAGTCTCGATTAAGCTGCCTAAGCATAGATCCAACGCGCTACTCAAGTAGGCGGGAAAGAAATGCCCTTCTAGCATTGCCACTTGCTTCAAGCTGCTCTTTCTATAAGCTATATTCCAGTAGTGATTCGAGAAGGAATTCATGAGTGACTGACCATCCAGCCTTTCCTTCGTATGAGACCGGACATGCCAGCGAATCGAATAGCGTAGGAAGTCAACAAGTCTTAATGGTGGAAAGCTAGAAAGGGAAAAAGCATTAGTTTCAGGTTGTTTACATACTCGACTAAAAGGAGGAACCCCTCGGGCGAATAAAGTATGTAACTGGCTTAAGAACAAGAAAGCAAGAAAAAGGTATGAAGTTCTAATTGTACAATGCTATTACTTCATCCGCTGTGAATAGGCTGAAGGAATTGGATCTTGTCTCTTTGAATCTGCTTTTAAGGCAGGAAGTCAGAACTAGAAACTTTCTCTTTAGATATCCCCATACGTTCCCTTGTGTGAAAGAGCTGTAGAATAAGTCCTAGCTATCTGATAATAGCAGTCTTGTTGCTATGGGCTTAGCACTAGTCTGCAATACTCAATTCATACCAGTAGTACGGTTGCTAACTTGTCTTTCAAAGTTGCCCTGGTGTATATCCCGGAGTACTTCGAGGAACGCCAGTAGGCCTATTAGTGTATAGATCCTTCCCGGGTTGTTTGCTGTGTTTCACTGTTTCTTCCTTGGGAACTGTTTGTTTTTTCTCTTCTGTTATAGTAAGAGTTCTCACTCCTTCACCTCATCGGTCAAGTGGAAGAGTCACGTCAGTCCCGAGGAACGCCTTTCCGCTCATGGTCTTCCTACTCCGATCTCGCTTCGGGCACTATAAGGGCTAGCTGGCTTGTTGCTAGAGCACAGTTAAGAGTCACTCCTCTCCTGGTTCTACGTAGCTTGATGAGATAGATTGCTGGCGTAGCTGTGATTCCTAAGTAAACAAGTTGTAGGGAAGGAGTGCCTTCCGGGTTGTGCGTATGCATCTACTGAGGTAAGGCACGATTGAGCGGCTAGCTGCTCTGTCATTACTAGAGAGTCTTTCTTAGTATGAGCCGTGATAGGGAAGATGTGTGCTCGAAGTCTCCTTAGGTCTTGATCTAGTTGTGACTTCTTTTTTCCAGCGAGTTACCCGTCGTTGTAGTTGTTGCTGTTCCGGGCGGTGCTTCCTGTCTGTAAGATCCCTTTCTTGTCTCGTCCGGGAAGGATGTATGAAGTATTGGTCCGTAGCTGCCTTGCTTTTCTTGTTTCCTTTGCTTTCGAGTAGGTGCAGCTGAGGCAGGTACCAAGAGTCAAGAGAGAACTTCTTTGTTTTGTTTGAATAATAGTATAGATTTATACCTTCTCTACGGAATACCTGTTGCATCCTGTCTCTCCTGCCAAGCGAATGGATTTGTCATGCATTTGTTGCTAACTGCCGACACAAGCTGGCTTGTTAGGAAAAAAACCCTTTTCTTCTTCTTATGAATGTTGCTTACTCTGTCCACTGCGATACAACTGTTGTAAGCTCTGTTTTACAGCTTGTAATGGGATTTCTGCTCTCTTTTCAATATATCCCCTCTCTTTTTCCTAGGAAAGCCTCTGTTGAATCTATCTCTCTCCGTTCGGAATGGGAACTCCAAGCTGTTTAGCTTTCATTCTTCCTTCCGGTACCTTTTCACAGTGCAACTGAGCAAATTAGTCAAACTTTGTACTCGGAATGCTACTTTCCTTAGTTTTGTTTCAAATATCTGCCGTTTCATCTGCTTCAGGAAAGGCAGTTGACTTGGTCGAATCCCGATTACGATCAAAAGGAAAATCTTGACTTGCAGTGGAATAACGGCTTTGCGGAGGAAGATCATCAAAGGCTGTTGCTGGGAGAGGTCCATTAGTCCGGGTCGATTGCTTCCATCCTCAATTGCTTCTTTTGAAGGTTACATGCCTGCTGTTGAAAGCCTGGGACGAGACAGAGTTAGTAGGCGCCTCCGGCCCTGCGGTTGAAGGTGATATACCAACAACATGAGCTAGCATGGTTTCGAGTGCGATAACATGGGATATGGATATGTTTTCTTCGATGCCTAGGCAGGCTGGGATTGGAACTGCTCGTGATTAGACCTTCTATATGACTGAACTTCCCCGCAACAAGATAGAAAGAAGAGTATAATTCGGAGAAAGATGAAGATCGTCCAATAGTGATCTACGGATAGCTACCGACGTGAGAGGCCTAGAGTGAAGCTCTGGCAGAGTGGCTCCCTTGTTAAGTGTAGGGCCCCTTGGCTTTGGACAACTCACCAAGCCATAGAGACTAAAGAAAGAGCTAAATCAGTCCTTGCTGCAACTGAAGGAACGAAAGAAATCTACTTCCGAACTGAGCGCTAAAGGTACATACGGAGAGACCTATGATTTCCATTCTGTTTAGGCTATGAAAACCTCCCCGGATGAAGGAATGTAATACATTGAAGACTTCGAACTGCTTACGTAATGGAAAAAGGGGCTAGATGGCTTACGGGGTATAGGGTTTTGAGGAGGAAAATGACTCACTTTTTGACAGAATCAAGGTCCTATCATTTTCTTCTTTTCTGAGTGAAATCAAAGCTAGACCATAAAGGGAAGAAGGTTGGTTACCTGCTATACTAAGAGTAAGCGAGCTAACGAGGCCTAATCCTGGGTTCACGGCATTCCATTCCTACCAATTCCATTTCGAGGGGTAGCAGTAGATTAGATCCTGTTGATTCAAAACCTTGTTCGAACTCTCTTTGGCATCTCACAAATGTTTCAAAATATATAGTACAGATTGGATCCTGATCAAGCTCAAGCTAAAACTTACCTACAAGAGAATCCATACTGAATCTATTATCATAGATCTTGCTTTCGTCGGATACGTCTCTTTCTCCCCAATTTGGATGGATCCTCTCATTCTAATTCATCGCTACTAACTAGAAGAAGTTCCTAAAAATCGAAAGCTCCCCTCTTTTTCTCCATCCATAACCACCAGTTGTAGCGGAGGAAGTAGCAGTCAGTGGCTTCTCCCGGGGCCCTTACCCTTGCTCTTTTCTTTCTCGGGCGCAGTAAAAAGATATACGAGGTTATAGAGAAATAGACAAAGAAGTTCAGCTGCAAGAGTGGATCCTATCCCGCCGTATTTACCAGCGGGATTCATCCGTCTAAGGCATTCCTCGGAGGAACTCGTCCAAGCACATGATGTCTCCTTTATCTGTTTTCAGCCAGCCTAAGCGCCCTACTTTACCTACTTGAAATGTAAATTTTCCTTTCATCAAAGCCTTCGTGTTCATCGAATACTCGCTTCACTATGTGTAGCTCGCTCCCCTCTCTTGAAAGCCGAACTGGCGCCTTCTTTTGATAACTGGGTTAGGGTTACCGAAGGCAATCTGGCAGGAAAAGTTTCCCCTTTTATTCGGCAGCCACCTTTGATGTAACTAAACTAGATAGAGTTTGGGTCACGAATTCGGATTTACCGATCCGAGGGAACCAAATGAAGCATCTTTTTCTCCTTCCGAAAGAAAAGAGGAAGACTTATTCCCACCGAAGTGCACTAATAGAAAACCCCTACCAGTCGAAGTGGAATGATGAGCTAAAAGTCCCTTGTACGATGAAGCTGAGTCACAGAAGCGGGAGAGGTGTCTTCTTTGAAGATCGTTTCCTATCGAGTGGATAAAATCCCAAGCCTTAAGAGCCCATTAACCCATCTTCTGTTCCGCTAGCCAGCTAAGCTAAAGCTTGCCATCGACCGGTTCGTTCGGAAGTAACCGCATGCGCTCACCTATCCATCAACCAAGACAGAAGGGAATGACCAACCAAGCGAGCAGAGCCCAACTACCAATCCTATGTTCTCCCAATTCTGGAACTGGTGGCAATCTAACGAATTCGGGAAAGCAAGATGATCGACACTGGAAAAGACGTCTTGGCGAGAGGTGCTTTAGCAACTCGACTGAAAAGGAGAGGGCGAAGTCATGACTCAAGCACTTGTCTAGAGAGGAGAGGGAGCTTACAGCATTCTCAGGCGCGGATGCCCTAGACGAGAGAGTTATTGAGAGAGAAAAGTTAGGTAGGTCGTCAGTAAGTTAGCGAGATAGAGCGAGACTGTTTGTTAGGTAGCTTAGCGAGATAGGGAGCAGCTATGGAACAAGGGGTCTGTTAAAACAGAACTAATTACCCTTTTTTTTGTTTGTTCAAGGGGTTCCTCGGAAGAGCTCGCAGTGAATGCCCAGTGCAATCCAATAAAACAACCTAACAGAACCGCTCCGCCCCTCCATGTACAGAAAAGTAAACCCAAAGAAGTTGTTCTGGACGAGAGAGTGAGATTAGACTGCTTAAACCGTAGATAGGCGTTCCTCTCCCTTTTAGTCGACTAACTGGCGTTCCTCGGGAAGTACACCTTAGGTTTACAAACCTAACACAGAATAACGAGACGAAGTCGACTTTAGAACCTATTGATTAGAGCTTGGCTGCTCAAGAGCTACAAATGCGAGGGGATAGCTGCAATAAACCCCATGTAAGCACAGGGAGAAGCCGGCTAAAGCCTACATACCTGTTCCCTTAATGCAACCTATTCCCAACGGAGGAGAAGAGGAATACTAATGAAATGACAGAAGCTACAGCGCGGACTTCGTGCTTGCAGGAACAGCAGCACTACTATGCAATTAATTAGCTGCCCCATTCATGCGCCCTCTAAACAACGAAAGCTACAACATCAACGAAGGGAATGGGTTCCTCCGGCATCTAGGTAGAACCTTCCAGAAAAACGGGGAGTAGACCCAAGGAGCGAAGCTACAGCCAAGGAAGAAATCCCGGGCAGGGACATGAACAAGATAGATATTCTACGCAGCCAAGCCCCTACTTTAGCTGCACTTGGTGGTTCCCCGCTTGGCTGTACCACGAACAAAGGGATCACAACAGCAACAGTAAGCACTCTCCTACCTATAACATGCAATCACAGGAATCAGACTAGAAGCTACCACCTGGCTACTCATGCAACTTAGTCCCATCGAACCAAGAGAGAAGGGATTCATTAAAGGAGTTCTTCCAAAGGCGCACATACCTTCGACGTTCACTCGGGCAACCGACCGTCTTCGACCGCTCCATCCCGCTCTTAAGGCTTGTTACAACGCGGAAGCCTTATTTGATTATATAGAAGATTTTTTTCCCCAACTTGCTTTATTAACGGGCATTTTCGGGGACTAGCCCGCTTCTTCATTACTCAAGAGGGCGATTGCCCGGTCCTCTTTCATGTGGAATCATTTTAGATCGTATCCCCACAAGCCTGCCTCCACTTTCTTATGTGAAAGAGGTGCTTGCTTTATGAGACTGAATGGAAACCTTCTTTCTTCGATCAGAATACGAATAAGATCAAAAAGGCCATCATTGGGGCAAACAATGCAATAGCTTCGGTTAGAGCAAAGCCCAAAATGGCATAACCAAATGATTGTTTAGCCAATGATGGATTTCGCGCCACAGAATGGATCAAAGAACTGAAGACGTTTCCAATACCGATAGCAGCTCCCGCTGAAGCAATTGTAGCAGCTCCGGCACCTATTGATTTTGCACCTTCTAACATCTCGGGTTGAGAATTCTACTCACGCTTTGTCATTCACTTATCTTATATCTTATTGATTCCTCGTCGATTCTTACCCTCGTTCCTTTGATCTTGGACATCTCACTTGGAATGCATTCTTTGCGATCTTGTACCCACGGAGTGGTATACTGAAGACCAACAACATCTCGACAAAGATAAGTACAAGCAAGTAGATCATTCGACGTCAGAGGGAATGACTCGTAGCTAGGGTCCCATCTCTCTTCGATTATTCAATTTGATCCGTCTTCGTCTTCTCTTATGAAATTGATAGTTTGTGAGATCGATTACTCATAAATGCTGCCCTTCTCTTATATACGAGAGCACCAGATACACCATGGATGGATACATACGATTTCACTTATCCCAAAAGTGAAGATCTTATTCGTATTCTGATCGAGGAAAGAAGGCGAGCTAGTTCAACTCAATGACAACCTCTAGGGCCAAGCCTATGGAAAGCTTTTCCAATCTCCTTCCGCATTCTTTCCTTTAATATGCTTGTATCACATACCAATAAGACATAGGAGGATCCGATAGATTTCAATCACATACCAATAAGACATAGGAGTTCGTTCCGAACAGATAAGATGGTAGTTGGCTATCAATCTTCTTTAGCACGAGTAGATCCCTATTCTTCTATAGTTGGTGAGAACTATGACTTGAACCTGCTCCTTACTTCAATCTTCTTTTCAATTCAGATATGGATGGTAAAGTCCATTCAGATATAGATGGTAAAGGAAGATCAAGTTACTCGGCTAGACCATTATCCAAAGAATGGAAAGCTAAAGCAAGTCAAAGAATCAGTCCCATAATTGAATGGCATCGTCCTTTCTTTCCCCCATGAATTGCTTTCTCTCGTACTCATGCGATCCCGTCCGACCCCTTCCTACTTGAACTCCTGGTTTTGATGCTGTGACTTCCCCCATGAATTGCTTTTTCTTCTTTTCTTGCTTTCCTGCGTTGCGTACAACTCCTTCTCTTATTAGAGGGCTCTCACGGCTCCTATGGTTGAGGAGCGTTGGGCCCATTCTAAGTTGGAGCGACTCTCCGGAAGAATTCCTTTGAAGAAAGATCCAAGCACTCAACTTGATTGGAGAAGTTAGCGAAAGAGTCTCGAGAGCAAGGCGTTGAGCGGATCGACTTTTGCTTTCCCCTAATAATCTGAAGGGAACGGGTGAGAATGAAGTTCAGGCTAACCACAGCTCCTTTCGTTTCAGTGGGGGTTGCAGTCTAATGAGAAATGAGGGTTGATCATCGATCTGTAGCGAATCTTTTCTGCCAATTGACTTTCTTGTCCTTCGCCCTCTAAGCCATTGGTTAAGTTGGTGAGTCTAAGTCTAAAGAGTAGGGGCGTAGCGAATTGACTATTGTGATCTCTTTAGCTTGAAATAGGCGCTGGAGTCTGTCTGAGTATGTAAAAGATGTGGTGGATAGGATAAGAAAGAAACCTTCTACATCAGCTAATTCTTCTTCCACGAGGGACTCAAATAAAGGAGGATCGGTTTCTTTCCCGTTCATCGTATCCATAGGATTGGGGGTCTCTTCCTGTCCTGAAGAAGCAGCTCTTTGCCTTTCTGCTTCAAAGAAAGAGGGGGAATGAGCAGATCAAGCCTTTCCCTTCATGCACTAGATGGATCACTTACAATGACCAATACTCCTCGTGAGAATCTAAGGCGCTTAAGGAAGCATCTCGAATCGGGCGTGAAAAAGATCCATCTTTGATTTATTTCACACAATTTCGCAATGTCAACTTGCTCGATGTAGGCTTGCTCCCATATTCTCCACGGTTTAAGGCAAGATTGGTGGGAAAGGGATATTCTCGCATCGATTACAATGAAATATTCTCTGTAGCCGACATATGTTCCAGTTCGCCAATAGTATCCATCGTTCACAGCTTCTGCCCCTTTTTTGGGGGGCACCCAGCAGTTTACTGTTAAGGACACTATCGATTTACTGTGATATGTCTACAGTCAAAAGCTAGTACTTTATGGGTAGCATCTTTAGGGACTCAGAGATCAGGAAAACTTGATAGAAAGCCCTAGCTCTAACTTGATAGAATGCCCCAGCAATGGCCATCGGAGAGGTCCAACGTAATTTATTACTCTTATAAAAGAGGGAACTCGACTGAAAGGAGAGGAGAGAAATTCCATTTACAGGCTTTCTACCAATGACCGGAGACCAGAAAGGGGAATAGAGAGATAAGCCTTGAGCGGTCAGACCAATTACGATCGATTCGCTAAACATTCAAGATTCTCGAGATGAACTGCTAAAAGAAGGAAGGGCGATAGAGAGAGGTTTTTCACTTTCAACTAAGCTAAGGAGATTCGGGATGGGAACCCGCACTCTTTTGACTGAGAGGCGTAGGAGAGAGGGAGTTCCCCGTAATCCGAAATATGATTTAGTACAGAGGCCGGCCGACCCCAAAGTCCTCCAAGTACTCACTCCTTTCAACGTCCCAAGGGGCATTAAAGACATAGAGATCTTGGAACCAAGGTCCTCCTATGGAAGGAATAAGACCTTGAAACAAGACCCCCAAAAAAGGGTCTTTATGGGACCTTTGTCAAGGTCGTTCGCTCTGGGCTTTGGGTTCAACGGGTCGCTTTGAAAATAAATAGTCTCATCACATCTAAGGTGCAAAGATTGACCTCGATGCATGTCAAATTTTGAATGCCTCATGACCTATGGTTCGGTCGTGGAAAACCACCAAAGGGTGGTTGGTTGAGATCTTAAGGAAGAAATACCGACCCAAAGATCTGGCATGTGTCCTTGAGTCCTCTTCTGCCACGTGTCGCAGGGCAGCAAACCTATAAAAAGGGACCGTATCCGAGAAAGTACTCCTGCTGCTAGCACTGAGTGTCTTCTTTCCACTAGGCTGAAATACGGCTGATTTCTCACCCGTGCGCACGCATCTCGCTTCTGGCTCCCTGACCGATACGACCTTTCTGGGTTTGTTAACATCCTTCCTTCTCCTTTTGGGTATTTGCTATCTTGTGGTCCCTGATTCTTAGGCTGACCACGTGGTCCTCTTGCGACGTCTGTTGGGAGGTAGCATCCAAGGTCCGAAAGGCCTTTGTTCCGACCCGACTTGCGGATCCGGGTTTGGGAGAACCTCCTTCGCCGCCGGTGAGTTTTCTACATCAGTCTGGTTTTGCTTCGGACAAAGCTCTATCTCGGTGGCCATATTCCCCACACTCAAAAACATATAAGATGCAAGCCTTCGTATTCGACCCTCTGG